TGTGCACCACAGAGCTTGGCAGAGCTGCAAAGTTGGCACCAGAATTTGCCAAGAGGAATGTTAAGTTGATTGCCCTTTCAATAGACAGTGTCGAGGACCATCTTGCCTGGAGCAAGGTATAGTATCAATTGGTGTGTGCTTCAAGCCTGAGATTATAGATCAAGTTATAAAGTATAGAGTACTTGGTTTTTGAGGTTAAGATACAAGTAAGTTTCAGGTTCAAAGTTCACTGATTATTTGAAAATTTCAGTTGAAACACACAGTATCACATTGCTAAATCCATTGGTCAGTCAGTTCTCAGCCCTCATCTTGGCCTACCAGCAGCATTCAACCCAGGTGATCACGTGCCTCCTGAAACTTTTTCCTTTTTTGGCTTCCAGGACACCACATCCCAGCTGTTCCTGTTCACTAATTCTTCATCTCCCAACTCCTAATGTATGCTGAAGTTAACGTGAACCTTTTTCTTAGACCTCCTCTCTTTTCTGTCTATACTCTTTCTCTTGGTGAGCTCATCCACTCACATCTTTAAATACCATCTATATGCTGTGATTCTCAAATTTTCATCTCTAGGCCAGACTCTTCCAGGTTTGTGTAGCCACTGCCTACTCAGCATCTCTCCAGGGATGTCCAGTCATCTCAAACCTAGCATGTCTAACTAGGCCTCATTCTTAAATCCAGAGTTTTACTCAACTAATGGCAACTACATTTTTATAGTTGTTCACACCCCAAATCCAGGAGCCATTCTTAATTCTTCATGTTTTTTCACATTATACATCTGATTTATCCTCAAACTTGTCAACTCTCCCTTCAAAATATGTCCTGTATCATATATGGAAGACTCACTCCCCAGGGCTCTGTGTGACTTACCCTCACCTCTTTTGGGTCTCAACTCACAGGACATTTCATCAACGCCTTTCTTGTCCTCATTATATAAAATTATAACTCCTTTTCACATTCACGGTCCCCTTCTCAGCACGTGTCACCATCTCAAATACTCTGCATATTATTTAGTTTGTTTCTCCCTAGTAGAGTGTAGACTCAGCAGGAACAGAGACTTCTGTTTTGTGCGCTGCTGGAACAATGCTCACTACTCAGTACACCTTAGGTGATCAGTCAATATTCGTTGAATGAATTAATTGAAGGAATTATCTGCTTTTAGCAAAAGAATTTACTTAAAATTGGGTGGTCTAAATTTACCTTGAAAACATTTTAAGGACTTTGCTACAATGTATTGTTAAGTAACAATGATAACTACTTATTGAGGGATGCTTACTCTTTACTAATCACTATGTCAAGCACATGCGATTGATATACATTGACTTGTAAGTTAGGGAAAATGGCTTTGGTCCATGGTTTCAACCCAAGTACTGTACTCTGCTGTTAATCCTGGCAATAATCGGGTTGAAGAGTGTTCATTTATTCATTTTTTAAAATTAAAATTGCTTAGAGACAATTACTGTGATGTGGTCCTCTTTGCTGTCTTGCAAGGTGATGGCTGTTAACTGGATGAAACTCAGAGGATGTGTTGGGTTTAGATTCCCCTTACCCTTTTACTTATGTTTCAGGATATCAATGCTTACAATGGTGAAGAGCCCACAGAAAAATTACCTTTTCCTATCATTGATGATAAGAATCGGGACCTTGCCATCCTGTTGGGC